AAAAAAAAAAAAAAAAAAAAAAAAAAAAAAAAAACTAACTACGATGACACTACAGAAAAAAAATAATAAATTAATTAATAAACAAGTAAGCAAATAAACAAACAAAATAAAAAATTAAAATAAAAAAAAAGATAATATTAGCATCACTTTGGATGCTCAAACGCAGTGGAACAGGAGTGCGGGTAGTAATGGCCTATGGAGCCCCCAACAGAGGAAATAAAAACTACTGGTTGCGACGCTATACGTCGCGCGCATATCGCTAACATTCAATGCCCAATCATTCGTTGTAAGACCCATCAACAATTTTTGAATTCCTGCAGAGACGAGACAGCAAATGACAACTACCGTGCTTTTTTATTAGCACTGCACTAGTCAAGTGTCCAAAAAGATTCTTCAATTTTTTTCAGCCACCAAACTATCGGCAAGACGTGTATCAGCAAATAGTGCAGTGATTACGACATTTTCTGACATAATTAGTTGTGAGTACCTAGCTAACTGCAGTACTTTTAAGATATATCCTAAGTTGGTAATTCAAAGCAGATAAGTTCATCTTGGAAGGAACGAAATTTGTAAACACTCCATTTCGTAGACCTGAAACATCCATCGAAAATCGCCCGAAAGAACCCGTGAAATATACAAAACGAGTCTCTAAAGAGTATTCACTCATTACTGAGATAGTCGCAGTAATTTTATTTCCCTCTGATCTATATGTAGAATCTTTTAAAAACAAAAATTTGTAGTCTACAAACCAAACTTTTCAAACCGCATATTAACTTGGCATTGAAGGTGGGCGTTTCAACAGTCAATTATATTATTAAGTTATTTTTTTTTAAAAGTACATATAACGAAGGTAGTAGAGTTTCAAATTTGGCATAATTCATGAAATAAAACTGCGAGCATAACAGTCAACTTACGTTTAAATAACAATCTGCTGGTTAAAAAGAAATATTTGAATTGAATATATCGCTTTTTACACATTTGCTTTACTCAGCAAGATGCAATGAAGTATAATCTGAAGTCATCATAACTGCTGTATTATGAAGCAGAAAGTAACCGCCAAACCTATAAGGAAACGCAAAATTTTGATTTACTGCACAGCATGAAAGATAGGGCTTTAATCCACGAAAATTTCCAATTGGAATTTTTGTGATTTAATGAAGCCTTTTCTGACGTTATCCAAGCTGCAAGTGGATCACTGGAAAACTAAAACTGCTTGAACCAAACGTTATTGTTGCACCTTATTTTTCCTTCTTCAGTCCGACTGTTCATAAATTTGCAAGAATGACATATGTTGCAACTTGGAGAGTAAGAGATTTTACACAAAACGATGACACTTTTTTTTAAAATTGTTTTCTGCAAGTTATCATGAAAAAATAAAAACTTTAATTTTTTAATTCTTTGGGCGCGATATTACATTTGCCGACCATACTTGATTTTAAATTTAGCCATGTGAAATTTTCAAGGGGTATAATTTAACTTGGAGTGGAGCAAAATAAATTGAGGGAAAGTGTGACTAAAACTGCTGCACAAAATTCTACAACTGAAGTGCTTAAACGCCTTTAAAAGTCTCAAAACATTGAAAAAAGATGGTAGTGTCAATAAAATACCAAACATAATTGTTAATTGTTTCATACTTAGCTTTAATTCTACCGAACAAAGAACTTCTCAAAAAAAAATTACCGGATAACTTTATGAAAAATTTAGCTCTGCGTTCACTCAGCCATATTTTCCTAACTTTTGTTACTCAAAACTTTTACCAGCCTTAAAATAATTAGGCTTTTCTTTTTGTCGACAACAACTTCAATTTTTAGCGACTTTTTTAAGCCACTTTCCTGCTATTTCATAACAAAATTTTTAACCTGAAATATTCTTTGAAATAAACGTCTCTAAATTACTGCGGATAAACGAAAAAATAGTTACCAAAACGTAGAAAAAATTCCAACATTAAACTACTAAGAGAAGATGGAAAATTGAAACGCCGTTTTCTCGTTACAAAAAGTGAAGGCCTACTGTTCATCTTAACCTGTCGTCATTTTGGAAGCAGTCAATTCTGGAAACTGTGGAGCCTAAAAAATAAACAATATTTTTGAACTTTTTTTTCTTCTTAGTGAAATACTCGCAAATCTTAACTTTTACTGTACACCTAGCGAAAGTTTCTTCCACAGCAATTTAATCAAAGTTTTTTGGCTTCTTTAATTGCTACATTTTTTCTTCAAATCTTGTTTATTTAAACGAATTTGTAGAAATATACAATCTTCAAAGTTTAATGATTTAGCAGATGAATAATAGTGTAACCTAAATTGATTAAAAACTTTCTCTTATAAAAGATTTGCGGCAAAAATTCTTTTGCAAAACTTGAGTTAGGCAAAATTGAGTTTCTTCTTACTCAGCAATCAGTAAGAACAAATTAACCAAAGAGTTATATCTAGGACCTCGCAAAGAAAAAAAAAAAAAGAAAAGAAGAAGATAAATGAGTTGTTATGCAAAATTGTAACCCTGTATTAAAAACCTTCAAGAATTATATGTGAGTGTGTAACTTCACGTAAAACCAAACATTTATCTTGATTGCAATCTCAACCCTTTTTCCAAATCTTAACGATTAACAGAGCCGGGTTCTGAAATTGCAAGATTCAGGAAAGAACTGAAAAGAGAATATAAGTCTACCCAGCGAAGGATAGAAAAATTTTATATCCCTTCTCCATATGCTTATGTTCC